ACCCCAATTACAAATCGATTTTAGAACCAAATTTTTTCTTGATCAAACAGGCCTAGTATATACCTCACTCGCTACTCACCAGGCCGAGTTCTGGTTCTGCCGCTGGGACATAGCCTGGTGAGTGAGCAAGCAAGGGAGAATGGGTGAGCAAGCGAGGGAAGGCCGCAAAGGCAGAAGCGGCGGCAGAAGCAGAAGCCTTTGCGAGTGAGTGAGCAAGTGAGCAAGAAGGCCGGGAAAGGCAGCAGGAGCCTGGTTGCCTCTTCCAGGCTTCTGCCGCCACCGCTGTCTTCCCTTGCTCACTCACTCACCAGAATGGATGACAGTGGCAAAACCAGGACTCAGCCTGGTGAGTGAGCGAGCAATGGAGGAAAGGGCGAGGGAGCAAGGGAAGGGAGGGTGGCAAAGGCAGTGGCGGCTAATACGGAGTGTCGGATAAGCAGAAGTTGGATAAGCGGGCTATACTGTATATCACTTTTCTCAGGTGGTCCTGGAACGTAACACCCGTGATAAGTGAGGGAACACTATACTATTTTAAGTAATCCTTACTATGAGATGGAAAGAGTGTTCATTCTTATTCATAGAATCATAGAATCAAAGAGTTGGAAGAGACTAGGCTTGGGCGGTTTCGTTCGTTAATTTCGTAATTCGTTATTAATTCGTATTTAAATTAGCTTACGATCCAATATTGAGCCATGCTGGAAGAGTGTGAGGAGTAAATTAGATTCGAAACAATTTTTTCAATTTATTACATAATTATTTCGAAATTATTTCGTAATTAATTCGTAGTTTTTTCGTAATTATTTCGTAATTATTTTCGCATGTCTGGTGCAAGTTTTATAGTTGTTGTTTGTTTTATCACACCAACAGTCAACAACAGAGGGAGAGGGAAGCTTCAGAAGTTCCTCCTGTCCCATTTGGAGGTTTTTTTAGCATATTGCGCAATCTCGTCTGCCATTAACAAATCAATTCGTAATTTTACGAAATTTCATAAATTTTGAAATTTTTTAAAGGAAAATTTCGGAATTATTTAAAAAAAAGGAAACACAAGGGCCCTCTAAAAACAAAACGAGTCTAGAACCAAATTTTTCCGTGGTTACCCAGTCTTAAAAGATGATGCTGTCAAGGTGATGCATGCCATATGCCAGCAAATATGGAAAACACAAGAATGGCTATCAGACTGGAAAAAAATCAACTTATATCCCCATACCAAAAAAGGGAAATGCGAAAGACTGCTCCAACTTCCGTACAGTGGCCCTTATTTCTCATGCCAGTAAGGTAATGCTCAAGATCCTGCAAGGAAGACTCCAGCAATACATGGAGCGAGAGTTGCCAGATGTTCAAGCTGGGTTTAGAAAAGGTAGAGGAACGAGAGACCAGATTGCCAATATCCGCTGGATAATGGAGAAAGGCAGGGAGTTTCAGAAAAACATCTACTTCTGCTTCATTGACTATTCTAAAGCCTTTGACTGTGTGGATCATCATAAATGGTGGCAAGTTCTGGGTGGGATGGGCATCCCAAGCCCCCTTCCCTCTCTCCTGAGGAATCTGTACAAGGACCAAGGAGCAACAGTCAGAACTGACCACGGAACAACAGACTGGTTCAAGATTGGGAAAGGCGTACGGCAAGGCTGCATCCTCTCACCCAACCTTTTTAACTTGTATGCAGAACACATCATGCGAGGATGTGCGGGGCTTGAGGAGATGCAAAGCTGGGGTGAAAATTGCTGGAAGAAACATTAACAACCTCAGATATGCAGATGACATCACTCTGATGGCCTGAAAGCGAGGAGGAGCTGAGGAGCCTTCTAATCAAGGTGAAAGAAGAAAGCGCAAAATCCGGGTTGCAGCTAAACATCAAAAAAACCAAGATTATGGCAACAAGAATGATTGGCAACTGGAAAGTAGAGGGAGAAACCGTGGAGGCCGTGACAGACTTTGTGTTTCTAGGCACAAAGATTACTGCAAATGCAGACTGTAGCCAGGAAATCAGAAGACGCTTCCTTCTTGGGAGGAGAGCAATGTCCAGTCTCGATAAAATGGTGAAGAGTGGAGACATCAGACTGGCAACAAAGATCCATTGCCTAGTCCAAGCCATGGTCTTCCCTGTAGTAACCTACGGATGTGAGGGCTGGACCTTAGGGAAGGCTGAGCGAAGGAAGATCGATGCTTTTGAACTGTGGTGTTGGAGGAAAGTGCTGAGAGTGCCTTGGACTGCGGGGGGATCCGGCCAGTCCATCCTCCAGGAAGTGAAGCCCGACTGCTCACTGGAGGGAAGGATACTAGAGACAAAGTTGAAGTCCTTTGGCCACATCATGAGGAGACAGCAAAGCCTAGAGAAGACAATTATGCTGAGGAAGGTGGAGGGCAAGAGGAAGAGGGGCCGGCCGGGGGCAGGATGGATGGATGGCATCCTTGAAGTGACTGGACTGACCTTGAGGGAGCTGGGGGTGGTAACGGCCGACAGGGAGCTCTGGCGTGGGCTGGTCCATGAGGTCACGAAGAGTCGGAGACGACTGAACGAATGAACAACAACAACAACCCAGTCCTAGAAGAGACCTCATGGATACATTTCTGCCAACGATGAACAAGTTTTCTGAAGCTGTCATGGAAGAAGTCGACACTCTGTTTTCGCAACCAGCATCTCACAGTTCTCTCATCCTGGGTACCCATCGTGCACAGATCTTCTGATAGCCACGCAAAGCAATAATGTGACCCACACGTTCTTGTGAAATGCCGATTATGCTTGAAATTTCTCTCTGAGTGATACGACGATCATCCTGAATCAATCATAGAATCATTTGAATTCTTCTTTGATGATTTCTCCCCTTTTCCACTTCTTGTGCATGTCTCTTTTGAGTCTTAGCCCAATTAGAAGTTCTTTGGACATCCATTCTGGCTTAGAATCATAGAATCATGGAATCAAAGAGTTGGAAGAGACCTCCTGGGCCACCCAGTCCAACCCCCTGCCAAGACACAGGAATATTGCATTCAAATCACCCCTGACAGATGGCCATCCAGCCTCTGTTTAAAAGCTTCCAAAGAAGGAGCCTCCACCACACTCCGGGGCAGAGAGTTCCACTGCTGAACGGCTCTCACAGTCAGGAAGTTCTTCCTCATGTTCAGATGGAATCTCCTCTCTTGGTTTCCAACAAGGAGGTGATCCCACCGGGAAGAATTTTAGAGCTTCAGGATGATCTTCGCCGGGAACTATAGAAAAATGCACAGGTTTTATGTTTCTGCTTAAAATTCCATTTTGTGCAGAAAAATAAATTCTATGCAAAAATCCACAGAAAATATTGCAGCATTATGCCTCTGCGGTGTGTCCAGAATTAAGGGTGAATATTGTGATGGAATAATATATTTTTTTCTTGAAGTTTGGTGAAAACTACAGTATTCTCTTCTAATCTTGAATTGCCTAGATTCCAAAACCATACACAGACATCAGAAATACTTGTTTCCTTGCCTGCTTGTTTTGCAGGAAGAAATAGGAAGGAAAGTCATAGACGATAAAGGAAGAACTACTTCCAAAAAAGAAAAAAACCCTTTAAGAATAAGAGCAAGAGGTTAGGGAGCTATAATGCTTGAAAACCAGTCTTAAGACTTTTAAGATAGTGGAGTGTGGTGGCATTAGAAGAATAGCCGTCTCGCGAGGGAGGAAAGGGGAAGATTAAAGAAGATTAAAGTTGTTAAAGAAAGCCACCAAAACAGAATGTGACCTCCTAACCCGACTAAATCCGAAAATCAAAAGCGTTTTTTTTCCAGTCTCTGTCTGGCCCCTGTCTTATTCTTTCTGAACAACAAAGGCAGAGGAAGCTGAAGTCATAAGTTTGATGGAAATCACAATCCCTCCCTCGGTTGCAAAGCTTCCAATGAAATGTGCTTGGGGATTAGTGGACCTGCCAGTCACGCAAACCCACTCCTTCCCCGTCGTCTCACCTGGATCCGAAAATATATCTTGATTGTCCTCTTTCGAAATCTCCTGACTCCCTTTATACAAGAATATGGGCAAGTTGGAGTAAGTTCAGAGGAGGGCAATGAGGATGATGATGAGAGGAATGAAGAACAAAACATTGGAGGACACATTGGAGGAGTTTGGTATGTTCAGCCTGGTGCACAGAAAACATGGTTACCCTCCATAGATATTAGGCTTGGTTGATTAAAAAATGGCTCAAAACTTGTTTCAGATGTAGGGGGCACTGGTGATTCGATTCGGAATTGAATTCAGAATTTTTCCGAAAAAAATTCGGAATTTTCCGAAATTTCTGAATCACTTTGTTAATGGCGGACACGATTGCGCAATACGCAGAAAACAGCAAATGATAATGAACAAACTTCAGGAGATCCTCTCTGAAGTATAGGCATGAAAGTATGGGATTAGGCCTGGGTAACAACGGAAAAATTTGTTTCTAAAATCGATTCGTTTTTTGGGATTTTGTTGCGTTTCGATATTTAAAAGAATTCCGAATTTTTTTAAAGAAAGTTCGATATTTATGAAATTTCGTAAATGGTAAAAAAATTACAAAACAATAACGAAACAATAACGAAATAATAACGAATCGATTCGTTAATGGTGGACGTGACCGCGCAATACGCTAAAAAACCTCCAAATGGGACAGCTTCCCTCTCCCTCTGGTGTTGACTGTTGGTGTGATATTATAATTTTTTTTCACTAATTAAACAAAAAACAACTATAAAACTTGCCCCAGACATGCGGAAATAATAACGAAACGACCTCAAACCAATAACGAAACGAATACATAACAAAATACGAAGCATTTACGAAACGAATTGAAAAATTTGTTTCGTTTTTAAGTTGCTCCAGAATGGTTTGTTATCACTTCGTTAACAAAAAAAATGAATTTTTAACGAATTACGAATTAACGAAACAAAACCGCCCAGCCCTATATGGGATGTCTAGTGTCTTCTTAGGCAACTCACAGCAAACAAAGAAACACCTTCTGGGAGCACCCCTTGAGGAAGGACTGGAGCCACTGCAAAGCAGTACCCCCGAGGCCCATTCCCGCGAGGCGTCCCAGAAGGATACCATGATCGACGGTATCGAAGGCCGATGAGAGGTCCAGCAGAACCAAGAGGGACACACTCCCCCTGTCCAGTTCCCGGCGAAGATCATCCACTAAGGCGACCAAGGCTGTCTCAGTACCATGTCCCGGCCTAAAGCCAGACTGCGCCTGATCCAGATAATCCGTGTCTACCAAGAAATCCTGGAGTTGCGAGGCCACCACACGTTCCAGGATTTTGCCCAAATAGGGAAGATTGGAAACTGGCCAATAGTTGACGAATTGAGTGGGGTCCAGTGATGGCTTTTTCAACAGCGGTTTTATAACAGCTTGTTTTAAGCTGGCTGGAATGATGTCATCCCGAAGGGAGGCATTAACCACCACCTTTACCTGCTCTGCCAAACCCCCTCTGGCTTCCTTGACCAGCCAGGATGGGCAGGGGTCTAGGATGCATGTGGTGGGCCTCGCCTCCCCAAGAATCCTGTCGACATCCTTGAGTTGAACAGATTGAAACGAATCCATCAAAACTGGACAAGCAGGTGCTCGTGTTACATCCTCAGAGACTGCCGTTAATATGGTGTCAAAGCCTGAACGGATCAAAGCAACTTTGTCCGCAAAGTACTGAGCAAGGGCTTCGCAGCAGGCTGCCGAATCGTCAGGGGACCCATCCTGAAAGGTGTGTTTCAACAACCCTCTGACTACTCGAAACAACTCCGCCAGACGGTTCCTTGCAGAAGCAATATTAACCAAATAGAAGGAATTTTGAGTTGCCTCTATTGCCGCGCCATGCGCCCTTGAATAAAGGCATAGGCGTGTTCGGTTTGACTCGCTAGGTTTTTTCCGCCATATGCTCTCTAGCCACCTCTTTGTTCGCTTCATCGCTGCCAACTCCTTGTTGAACCAAGGAGATGGTTTAGCTTGGCTACGGAGCGATCGTGTCTATTGCCCTAGTCAACTCATTATTCCAGGGCAACGACAGAATTACCTACCGAGGTGATGGGAAATTCCCCAAGAGCCAACAGGAATCCCTCTGGATCCATAAGCCTCCTGGGGCGGACCATCTTAATGGGTCCACCACCCCTGCGAAGGTTAAGAGTTGCAGAGAGTCTAAACCTGATCAGGTGATGGTCGGTCCATGGCAATGGAGCGATGGACAGCTCCTCCACACCGCCACCATTTTCTCAACACTGACAGAAAACCAAGTCAAGTGTGTGTCCAGCACAGTGGGTAGGGCCAGATACTCGTTGGGACAGCCCCATAGTTGCCATGGTGGCCATGAAGTCCTGAGCCGCCCCTGAAAGGGTGGTCTCCACATGGACATTGAAGTCCCCCAGCACTATAAGCTGCCGGGACTCCAATGCCAGGTGTGAGACCAACTCTACTAGCTCAGGTAGGGCGGATGTGGTGCAGCGGGGTGGTCGGTACACCAACAGCATCCCTATGCTGTCCCGGTCTCCTAGCCTCAGGTGGACAATTTCAAACAAAGCTGACTGTGGGGTAGGGCACCTGATCAAGGAGATGGAATAGACTATTGCAACTCTGCCTCCCCGCCCCCCAGATCTTGGCTGGTGCACAGAGTAGCCTGGCGGGCAAAGCTTGGTGAGATTAACTCCCCCAGCCTCGTCCAACCAGGTCTCTGTAATGGACGCCAGGTTCTGAAAATTAAAATAACCTTGGGAGACATCCGAACATTATGGAATCTTTCCAGGAAAAAAATTCAGAACCCCCCCCCTCTTTTCTGCATGTTTCAAAACTGCTTCGAAAGTCAAAAGTCGGAAGTTTTTTACGACTTTCAGGCTCTTCCGAACGAACCAATCCAAACCAAGAAGTCATGGATGGTGCCAATACTTTTGGAGGAGAAGGATCCAGGCCGTGCACAACTGCTATGATTCCATGGCATGGAGCCATAGTGGTGTCCAATTGCATTACATCTACAGTGTAGACGCACTCTTTCTTTAATGCAAGCTTCTCATTAGAAGCTCCCTCAGAGAGCATTATCCTTAGTTACACAAGGAATTGTGTAATAGGTCTCCCTTCTCCATATGGAGCTAAAAGGCTCTTGCCTTTCTCAAGTGCCAAGGAATTAAATATGAATTAGATTCATATATTGGTTCAAATGTGATGCTCTGTGCAGGAAGTGTCTAATTCGTGGTGGTAAACGTTGGGGGAGATAGAATGGCTTGTTCTAAGAGAAAGCTGCAGCCTCGGTGTCAGTACACAAGCAATCAAGTAATCTGAGTATCATCATCATCATCATCATCATCATCATCATCATCATCATTTAATAACTTATTAATCGCCCTCCATCTGAGAATGCTCTAGGAGATTTACAGCTAAATTATAAAAGATAAAATACATACATACAAAAATTAAAAATTAACAGAGATCGAACACTCTAGTAAAAAGCCAGGTCTTAAATGAGAGAGTAAAAGGCCCTAAGTCACGCATGGCTCTCATGTAGGGTGGCAAGGAATTCCACAAGGCAGGGGCAGAAATAGAGAAAGCCCATCTGCGCCTGGTCCTTTCCAAGTGCCCTTCTCTAGGACCCGGTATATGGAGTAAGTCACGTTGGGCTGGTCGTTGCGACCTCCGATGATGGGAGAAGGAGAGGTGGTCCCTAAGGTACGATGGAGCCTGGCCTTAAAGAGTTTTAAAGGTCAGAACTAGCATCTTAGACAGGCCACGGGACTCAGTTGGAAGCCAATGTCAATGTTGCAGCACTGGTGTTATATGGCTTTTCATGGGCGTTCTTGTGAGTAGCCTGGCTGCCGCATTCTGAGCAATACGAAGCTTTCGGGCCGTAGACATCGGAAGGCCCACATACAGGGCGTTGCAATAGTCCAGCCTAGACATGACCGTGGCATGGATGACAGTTGCCAGAGCCTCGTCAGATAGGGAGGGTGCCCGTTGCCTCGCTTGTCGTAGATGGAAAAAGGCCTGTTTGTTGGCAGCAGCGACCTGAGCTTCCATTGTCAGCTGCAAATCCAGGATGACACCTAAGCTCTTAACAGTGGTAGATGGAGATAGGGCGGCACTATCGAAGGTGGGTAATGGAGGAGTCAGACCTGCCGGGAGGCCATGCCAGAGAATCTCAGTCTTCGCCGGGTTCACCTTCAGTCTGCTAGCACGTAGCCAGTTTGACAGAGCTTCCAGACATAGGGTGAAATTGTCTGGAATTGACGTTGCTCCAGGCTCCAGGCGCAGAAGGAGTTGGGTATCATCTGCATATTGGTAGCAGTCCAGGCCGAAACTCCAAGCCAAACTAGTAAGGGGTCTAACGTAGATGTTGAAGAGAAGAGGAGAGAGAATTGCACCTTGGGGGACCTCACATAGGAGGGAGGATCCATCAGAGACTTGATCCATGTACTCCACGCGTTGACTCCGGTTCCAGAGAAATGAGTTAAATCAATTGAGGGCCTGACCACGAGCAGTATGAGCATAATTTGGTGTTGCACTTCAGGTCCAGAAGAATACACCACACGAAGAGTGAAGAACCAAATCTTCTTTTATTGGAACTTAATAAATAGCCAGAAAAAATAAATGCTTGTAAGAAAATCAGAAGGTTCCAAAAAATATTAGTCCATAAACAGTAGTAACCCAAAGCAATGTCCACACAAGAAATACAGGCAACCCAGACCGGAAACAAGCAGGATGCAAAGACAATCCAAAAGGCTTAAAAAAACTCCACAGAAGCAAGATCCCTTGAACAAGACTTCCACGTCACAAAAATTTGTTTTCCAAATGATGCCTGATCTGACAGGTATTCCCTTGAAACAAACATTATATCCCAAAACTCAGAAATTCGTTTCGTTTCCCTCCACATTCTCCCTTTATCAGACGAAGCCTTTTGGAGCAACGTAAATACTGAAATTGTTGCCAATCCTGGCTAATCTCCAGCCGCCTATTCTTCAGCTCCCTATCTGGCTGCTCATTAAAATTCCCAGGTGTCAGATTGTTTTCCAAACCCAAATCTTGAGAGCCGACAGAGAGAGGGAGTGAACCATCACTGCTAGGCCCAGCAAGGATACTCTCATGAGAAACTGCCCTTTGCAGTGGGGCCTCTCTGTCATTGTCTGCCTGAAAATCATTGACCAAACCATCTCCATCTTGCACCTCAGCCTCAGCACCATCATTTCCCTCATCATGTCCCACATCAAGAGCATCATGATCCTGAGCATCATGAAACACAAACACAGGCTGATTCCCAATAGTTTGTGGGATACCTTTTATGTGTAGCCAGGTGTCTCCCATCCTAAATCTATACATTTCCAGATTTATTGGATTGACTTCTCTTAAGGGAATCTCTCACTTTGGACAATTGCATCAGAAACATACCCTCAAAATAAAACCAACATCTTGGAAAGTGGCTACAACCTTTGGAATACAACCCAGAAGAGGTTTCCTAAGCACCAACTTTCGTGGCTCTCACTTCTGCCATGCATTGGAAATCTACTGGATGGTTTCTCCTTCTCAGAAATGGGCAGATTATGAGAATTTTTGTCCACCGAAGTACTGATTGCGCAATGATGCTTGGAATACTTTCTCAAATTCCATGTTCGGAGGACCAACTTCCATGTCTGGAGGTCCAACTTCCATGTTCGGAGGTCTAACTTCCTTGTCTGGAGAACCAGCTTCCACGTTTGGAGGTCCAACTTCCATGTTTGGAGGTCCAACTTCCATGTTTGGAGGACCAGCTTCCATGTTTGGAGGACCACCTTCTATGTTTGGAAGTCCAACTTCCTTGTCTGGAGAACCAGCTTCCACGTTTGGAGGTCCAACTTCCATGTTTGGAAGTCCAACTTCCTTGTCTGGAGAACCAGCTTCCACGTTTGGAGGTCCAACTTCCATGTTTGGAGGTCAACTTCCATGTTTGGAGGACCAGCTTCCATGTTTGGAGGACCACCTTCTATGTTTGGAAGTCCAACTTGCTTGTCTGGAGAACCAGCTTCCACATTTGGAGGTCCAACTTCCATGTTTGGAGGTCCAACTTCCATGTTTGGAGGACCAGCTTCCATGTTTACAGGACCAGCTTCAATGTCTGGAGGTCCAACTTCCATGTCTGGAGGACCAGCTACCATGTTTGGAGGTCCAACTTCCATGTTTGGAGGTCCAACTTCCATGTCTGGAGGACCAGCTTCCATGTTTGGAGGTCCAACTTCCATGTCTGGAGGACCAACTACCATGTTTGGAGGTCCAATTTCCTTGTTTGGAGGTCCAACTTCCACGTCTGGAAGACCAGCTTCCATGTTTGGACGTCCAACTTCCATGTTTGGAGGTCCAACTTCCATGTCTGGAGGACCAGCTTCCATGTCTGGAGGACCAGCTTCCATGTCTGGAGGTCCAAATTTCATGTTTGGAGCACCATCATTTCTCATCAATTCCCTCGTCATTTCCCACATCAGGATCCTGAAACACAAACACAGGCATCTTTACATAGCAAAACCCAATTACGTCCTGATCATAGCATATGGACTCTGGATAACTTTGTAAAAGCAGACTATGTCTGGATACTCTTAGGCTCGGCTTTATAGCATTCTTTAAATCTCAGCTGAGTAGTTACAGGTCCTTAACTCCAGTTATTGCCTTTATTTTTTGGATTTATACCCAGCATTTATCCCAGGCTGGGACTCAAGGTGGCAATACTGAATGCCTCCATCAGTATATATTTATGTGCATGTGTGCCGCGCAGGTATTATTTTATAAGAATACATGTTTACTGCTCACTCCCATATGTGTTCTGCACAAGAAAGCTGCAGGTACAAAGCAATATTCCCCCAACAAAGTTCCAAAGATGGCTGAAATTCACGCTTTGACCTTTTTTTCCTGTCGAGGATGCAAATATTAACTTGCAAAGAGGCAGATGGAGAGGTGAGGCCGCCCCCGTTTTCCTCCCTGGATTCCTCCCGGTATTTGCCTTGATCCGAACCCACACACGGAGGCAAAGGCCTGGTTCACAGAGCCACTGACCCACCTTCCCCGAAGCATTTGCTTCACGAGCACAATGCAAAGGAGCAATTCTCTCCCCTGGATTTGCAAAGGAAATATTCTTATCCTCTTAGCTCCCCGACACTTCTCTCCTCGTTGAAACGGATCCCGGGTTTCCTTCGGAGAATACTGGCAATTAGTTTCCATAACAACACCTTTTCTTTCCCCCCCGCCCTTCTCCTACTTGACAAAGTTGAAAACCACCACGTTTTCAGTGTTGGCGCATAAGTGGAAGTCTGGCACACTTCTTTTTTTTTTTTTTTTTGCAAAAAATTCCTAAGAATGCCTTCCAGGAGACAGAAATTGTGGGCTGCATCCCCAAAGGAACTCATTATGCAATGAAGATCTAGATGGTATGAAAGAAGGAAGGCTATCCAAAGGACGATGAGAGAAACACATGGCTGTGCCGCCAAAACCTGGTGCAAAATGGTAGCGGCACTGGGCAGAATGCAGTGGTGATGTCATCATTGTGCGCCTGGACCCTGGGAAAATCCGGAAGTGAAAATCCCCGCTTCGGGGAATTGACGAATCAGGGAAGAGGAGGCGGGACGATCAGAGACAATGGGGGATGAAAGGATTATGACATTCCTGAAACCTAAGTGTCCCTGCGTCTGGAAAGTCGGCCAGCTGGGGGATTGGCTTATTGTCTTGATAATGAGAAACTAGAATCTCCTCCCAAGGTCCGGGGCCCCTTGGCCAGGCTCTTCCCCTAAGTCCCTGGGTCCGGAGCTTGGCAGAGGCGAGGGGCAGCAAGGCTCAATGGAGCCGCAACAATGGAACCGGCACATTTGACAATCAGCTGTTTCTAATAAAATATATTCTTAAAACTTGAGAGGTTATTTCCTGAGTGTAGAGATCCATAAGGAGAAGAGCGAGATGGCAGATAGGGTTAGAATTTAGCACAGAAAAATAAGTCATTAAAAGCCGATCCACCATTTTGTGGATACGGAGATCTGAAAGGAGAGATTCCGTATCTGCGGTTTGAAGAGGTGCGGATCCGACTTCCCCGGAATGCCAGGGAGTCATTCCGGGCAGACTCGCAGTCTCCCGCGGCCTGGAAAAGGTTGAATTCATGCATTTAGCTAGTTCAGGCAAGAAGTGACACAAAGTATCCAGCTAGAGAGATAAGAAGTAGCAATTTCAAGTACCTTTATTAGGGGAATGGTTACAAAGTTAGGACTTGGGCGGAAAGTGATAGAAAGGCATAGAGGATGCGTGCCGTCCCTGTTTGAGCTGTCTGTTGGGGCACATTTCATCAGTTTGTCCCAATTATGGCTTCCAGGAACTGCGGAACTCTCAGCTGCAGGTCAGACCAACTTGAAGGCGGGGGCCTCCACTGCCCTCGATGACAGTATGAAAGAAGGAAGGATATCCAAAGAGAAACACATGGCTATGCCACCAAAACCTGGTGCAAAATGGTAGCGACACTGGGCAGAATGCAGTGATGATGTCATCATTGTGCGTCTGGTCCTTGGGAAAATCTGGAAGTAAAAATCCGGAAGTGAAAATCCACAAAATAGGGACGATCTATATGGTATGAAAGAAGGAAGGATATCCAAAGAGAAACACATGGCTGTGCCGCCAACACCTGGCGCAAAATGGTAGCAGCACTGGGCAGAATGCAGTGATGATGTCATCATTGTGCGCCTGGTCCCTGGGAAAATCCGGAAGTAAAAATCCGGAAGTGAAAATCCACAAAATAGGGACGATCTATATGGTATGAGAGAAGGAAGGATATCCAAAGAGAAACACATGGCTGTGCCGCCAAACCCTGGTGCAAAATGGTAGCAGCACTGGGCAGAATGCAGTGGTGATGTCATCATTGTGCACCTGGTCCCTGGGAAAATCCGGAAGTGAAAATCCAGAAGTGAAAATCCGCAAAGAAGGGACGATCTATATGGTATGAAAGAAGGAAGGATATCCAAAGAGAAACACATGGCTGTGCCGCCAAACCTTGGTGCAAAATGGTAGCAGCACTGGGCAGAATGCAATGGTGATGTCATCATTGTGCGCCTGGTCCCTGGGAAAATCCGGAAGTGAAAATCCGCAAAGTAGGGACGATCTATATGGTATGAAAGAAGGAAGGATATCCAAAGAGAAACACATGGCTATGCCGCCAAAACCTGGTGCAAAGTGGTAGCAGCACTGGGCAGAATGCAGTGATGAGGTCATCATTGTGCGCCTGGTCCCTGGGAAAATCCGGAAGTGAAAATCCGGAAGTGAAAATCCACAAAATAGGGACGATCTATATGGTATGAAAGAAGGAAGGATATCCAAAGAGAAACACATGGCTATGCCACCAAAACCTGGTGCAAAATGGTAGCAGCACTGGGCAGAATGCAGTGATGATGTCTTCATTGAGCGCCTGGTCCCTGGGACATAGCCAGATCATCGGACAGCAATCCGGCTATGACCCCATGGACATCAGCACAAATGTATCTATATATTCCCTATACTATAAAGCAGTATCGCAGGGGTTATGTTTCAGGACCACCCGCGAAAAGTGAAAATCCGCGAAGTAGGGATGATATATATATTTAGGTGAGGGTTTCAGCCGTCTCGGGAAGTGAGTGGAGGTACTTCAAATCCTATCATCCATGGTCTGCCCTCCTCCAAACTGAAGTAGGATGTAGAATGGATCATGGGGGCTCTGTATGTCAAGTTTGGTCCTGATCGGTCATTGGATGAGGGTCGCAGCGGTCTAGGGGAACTGAAGGGAGAGAAAGTACTACAAATCCCATCATCTGTGATCCATCCTCCTCGAAACTGCACCAGGATACAGAGTGGTTCCGGGGGGGCTCTGTGTGCCAATTTTGGTCTTGATCAGTCATTGGGTGAGGGTCGTAGTGGTCTTGGGAAGTGAGTGGAGGTACTTCAAGTCCCATCATCCATGGTTCACCCTCCTCCAAACTGCAGTAGGATGTAGAGTGAGTCATAGGGGCTCTGTGTTTTGTCTTTATTGGTCTTTGTTGGGGGCCACAATGGTCTGTGGGAACCAAAGGGTTGGAAAGTATGACAAATCCCATCATCCATGGTCTGTCCTCCCCCCAAACCTCACCTGGACATAAAGGGAGGCATGGGGGTTTTGTGTGCCAAGTTTGGTCCAGGTCTGTCACCCGTGCTGGTCACAGTGGCCTGTGAAAGTGGGAGCCAATGGGAAAGCTGCCACATACACCTCCGCATACAAACATACAAACATTTATTATTTATTATCTATATAGATATAGGTATATATATAGGTATAGATATAGATATAGGTATAGAGATATAGATAGAGATATAGATGGAGTCACTCCATTTTACAGGAGCTCTCCAAGGTTCTGAACCCATTCGGAGCCTGGGCTCAGGACCATGGAAAGCCACATACACCTCCGCATACAAACATACATTTATTTTTATTATCTATATAGATATAGGTATATATATAGGTATTGATATAGATAGAGATATAGATGGAGTCACTCCATTTTACAGGAGCTCTCCAAGGTGCTGAACCCATTCGGAGCCTGGGCTTCAGGACCATGGAAAGCCACATAAACCTCCGCATACAAACATACAAACATTTATTTTTATTATCTATATAGATAAAGGTATAGGTATAGGTATAGGTATTGAGAAAGATAGAGATGGAGTCACTCCATTCTACAGGAGCTCTCCAAGGTGCTGAACCCATTCAGAGCCTGGACTTTAGGACCATGGAAAGCCACATACACCTC